TTTGGATTTTAAGTAAGAAAAGAGAGAATAATAATATCATTTTATCTAAAATTAGACTGATGGGGAAACTTTGATTTAATTTTTTTTGAATAATTTTCATTTAAAGGAGAATAAATTATCAAAGATAGTTATTTCCTTATATGCCAGATCTTAGCAGCCTATATTTAAAGAATTTAATATTTTGCAATCAAAAGTTCTATTTTACTTTTAGACTATATGATCTTTACTTTGATATAACCTTAATATTAAGAATTTATCTTTTTCTTTTATAGCATGAAGTCTTATTTTTTTTTTTAAAAAGATTTTATATCTTATTAAGTTAGCTTAAAATAATAAACTCTTTAGGATTTTGAAAAAATGATGTGCTTGATTTTATATTAATTTTTATATAAAGCAAAAATATTCTTTTCTGCTTAAACAGAAAGATATATATATTAAATTTTATAAACTTAAATTTGACAGCTTATAATATGTTACAAAAATTAGAAAATTATTGCAATATAAAAAAGGGAGAGAGTTGATTAGTAAAATATATTTTATCTTATTACATAATTTGGATAATAATGCTTCATAACTTTGATAGTTATTTCTAAATGTAATTTTTGTCATTTGATCCTTTTCCAATGCAGCCAAATAAAACTGTTTTGCTTCTGATTTCTTCCCTAATTCAAATAGTGAATCAGCTAAATAATTTAAAAGTTAATAGTACCTTTACGTTATAGTCTTAGAGGATTAATAGTAATAGATAGAGCTTAATCGTAACATGAGAGTGCATCATAGTATTTCTATAATTAGTGTAAGGCATAACCTAAATTTACCTTTGTTACTCCGTGCTTTATCATGCTTAGGATTTATGGAAATTGCTTTGTCGTAACATTCAAAGGCTTCTTAATATTTATTCAAATTATTTAATGCCAATCCTAAAAAATAATGTAAAAAAATTAATTACCTTTGTTATACCACGCTTTATCATACTTAGGATTCATGGAAATTGCTTTGTCGTAACATTCAATGGCTTCTTAATATTCATTCAAATTATGTAATGCCACTCCTATTTATAGTTCAATTTTTCATACCTTCTTGTAATAATCTTTCAGCTTCTTTAATATTATATCCATTTTTATCTTACCCCTCATCATTAATTTTATTTACTCATATTCATCAGAAATTATTTAATCACCATATTTAGTTAACTCTATTACCATATTTTTAATTGTATCAAGAATATGATTTAATTATATTATTTGTTTTTCTATTACAAATACTGAATGTATACTTATTTAATTTTTTTTTTATTTGAGTAAAACATTTTGATAATTTTGATTTATGTCATAAAAGTCAAATACTCTTTGTTTTAAAGTTGTTGTTTCATTTTATCTAATATTGTAATATCTTGTTCCATTATTTTGAAAATCTATTCAAAATAATATTAAATTGATTTGGATAATTCCTTGTATTATATACTTTTTTGATTTTAAACTTATATTAATTCATTAATATATTAGTTTAATTTAGAGAATCGAATGCAATCATTTAAATGATCTGAATGAGTCGTAGTTAAAAATTCATAACAATATTATGATGCATTTTAACAATTCTGATTCAAGCAAAATCCAATTATTTCTTCATTTTCATGATTTAGATATTTACACTTATAGAATTCCATTTGAATATTAAAAAATAAAAATAATAATAAAAATTAATTAAATATCTTAATACATAAATATAATATATTTAAAACGCAAATCAAGAATGAAAACTTTTTCATAAAAAATAAACAATGACTCATTGTAATTAATCAAATTATATAAAGATATTCTTATGTCTTAAAATTGTTATATTATACTTTATAGTGTTTATTATTATTAGATTGAGATAAAATAAACGATTAATATAAAATAAAACTCACAAGGTGTTTATTTTAGTAACAACCCAAGATTTTTATGATTTTCATATTCAAATCAAGAATAAAGCGCAATTGGCCCTAATTACATTTATAAAGTAGTTGAGTTAATTTAAATTCATAACAATCACATCTAAGCTAATAAAAGGAGATAAAGTATAATCAACAGAAGTAGAGATGGCAATTTAAGATACAAAGGAGTGGATTAATTTGAAATATTAAACTTGAAAAATCAATTAAAGTTGAGAACTACTTAAAATAATAGGGGCAATACTTGAGTTAGCTTTACCTGTCTCTATGCATTCTTCTTAAAACAGATATTTAGAAGAAGAAAAAATTCCAAAACACGTTTTATCTCAACTCCACTTGGCTAAGTGTTCTATTATAACTTTAATTTAGTCACCTTTTTTCAGCTAAATTAAAGTAAATATAGCCAAATTGTATTTTTGCTTTAGTTACTCTTAAAAATTTGTAAATAATCATCAGAAAGACATAGATATGCATTAATCATCGATATAATTTCTGAGTAGAATGCGACTATAACTGTGAGAGCTTTTTTATATATTTTTTTTTATTCAGAAGGTATTATGCTTGATTAAAAAATCAAAGTTTATAAATTATTTATATTGTTAGGAAATCCTTAAATCTCGTAGCAGAATTTAATACTGTTCAATGGTCCTTTCCATTTTTAAAAAAATATTATTTAATTTTCAAAATCAAATTAAAAAATTATTTA